TGGGTCAGGTCAGCTGTACATCGTACTCCCCTGTACCCTCCCCCTACCCTTCCCTCCCCCACCCCCAGCTCAGATCCAGGCTCCAACCTCCCACCTCCAGCATCTAAAATGTGTGAAGAGCAGGGCTTGTCCTGCACCTGAGTCTCCTCCCAGATGTGATAACAGGTACAGAGAGGTTAGGTCACCAGCGGAAAGTCACACAGCAAGCAAGTGGGGCAGCCAGGAGCCAGGGGGTTTGTCTCCCAAGTCCACTTTTTCCGCTCCCCTCGCCACCCTTGCCTCCTTTCTGGCCCGCTCCCAGCCCCACACGGGCATCCTAGAATCCCCCATGCCCTTTGACCCAGCTGCATTCCTTCCTTCCTCAGCTATTTCCTGAGGACCTATTATGGGCTACACCCACACAGGTGCATCATTATCTTTTAGGATCATCATAGCGATAAGACAGGGGAAGTCACACAGCTTGTCTCTCAGTCCCTAGACTTCAGACGCTAAGCCACCAAGCTTGGGAGGAGGAGGGTGAGTGGTAGTCAGAGAGGGCTTCTCGGAGGAGGTACCCCTGAGCAGAGACCCTCAGGAGGTGAGGGAGGAGTCCTGTGAATACCTGAGGACTCCAGGCCGCTGGAGCAACCAGGGCAGAGGTCGCTGTGGCTGGAGCAGAGTGAGGAGGGGACAGGTCATGCAGGGCCTTGTGGGCCGCAGGGAGGATTTGAACTCCTCTCCCCCACACCTCCACCCCCGGGAGGTAGGAGCCATGGAAGGCTGTGGGCAGACGGACTGGATCAGACTCATGTGCTCACAGACGCCCTCTGGTGGTCACCGTGGGAAGGACCGATATGGGGGGACAAGAGTGAGAACCAGGGACTAGGATGGCTGGAGATTGGGCCGGTCCCCCAGAAAGGCAGTGATGGGGCTGGGCTGAAGTGAAGGCAGAGGAGGAACAAGAAGAAACACCTGAGCCGGGCTCGGTGGCTCAGCCTGTCATCCCGCGCCTTGGGAGGCTGAGGTGAGTGGATTGCCTGAGCCCGCGGGTTCGA